CGTGGGCGTAGTGTGCAATGACGAGACAGACGTGATCTCTGTCCTCGCTCATCATGGAACGGACGGTTCGAAACAGACCATCAGAAGCCTTGGGATAGTATCCAAATTTCCCCAGGATGAAGTCGCCCATTGTCTCCTCGCAGACTCGCAGTAGTTGACAGCAGCCAGGCAGGCACGTCACTTTTCCACTTGTGAGACTCTGGCGCAGGCGACGCCGGTGCTGGCCAACCATGTACTCGGCGTTCTGGTAGAGATACGAAATTGTCCAGCCTCCCAAAGCAATCGGGTCTGGTCGGATGTAGCCGGTTACTCCCACGATCTCATCGCCTTCTCTTGCGGTCTGCATCAGGCTGTGAATGCATTTGGTGTCGAATCGGGTGTCTGCGTCTATTCCGATAGCATAGTCCACTTTCTGGATGGCTTGGGTCTCGAGGAAGCCTGAGAGCTCGGCAAAGAGCTTGGGCGAGATCATCTTCAAATCGGGGTTTGCCTTGCGCTGATTAAATTTGTTCAGGAACGTCCGGATGAGAATGATGCCATCTCGTTTGCCGCGGTTCTCGTTCTTGATAACGCAGATGATTGGAAGACCTCGGAATTCACCCTTGATGATTTCAATGTCCATTGGGCCGTCGTCCCAGGCCGTATATGCTTCATTCATGAAAGTGCTAGTCGGGCGCTCAACAATATCTTCTTTGAGATGGGCGGAAGTCGTCTTGGTCATGCCCTTGCAGCTAACGCGACCATCGCAAACTACAACAATAGCTTTCTTGTGATCATCCAGCGACTGCTGCTCAGCCAGCGAAACCAGCGAATTCATCATCTCTTCATACGACTCGTTGTAGCAGCAAAGTAGGTAGACCAGGCTCTCCGGTGTTGCGGGGATCGTGATTTTAGGTGGGTTCAATCGCTTTCGAATGAGGGCATGGATGACCATGGTGATCTCGATCATGTCCACAACGGCTCGAAGAATAAGGTTCGGAAAGAGGACCCAGGAATACTTTGCCCAGTCTGCGAACATGTACATTATGAAAAGGCTGAGTAGATCTATTAGCAACTCGTGTCTTGCGCATTGGGGAGTGATGGCGTTGATCCACGTACTTGAATGGTATTAAGATGGCCCATATTACATATTTCTCAATCCTGAGACGATCCGTATTGACATCTGGAAGATGTTCGATAGCGCTGCTCAAAACCTTGGAGGAGAAAAAGCGCGATCGTTTCTTGAGATTGCCTGCAATCTGAGCGCCCGAGCTCGCTGTATTGAGGACATCCATCTTCATGGAGAAGCGAGGGATTCCTTTGTCGTGTTGTGGTGAACGGCGAGTGCTGCAGGAGCGAAAGATGCTATTCTAGTATTTTGTACAAACGCCATGTACCTTTTGGAATTCAGGGTCAATGTGTCAGGGTACGAGCGTCAAACTAAGCATATCCACATTGGAAGTCTGGTTAATCTCTAGAACGCCGGCTAGGCGATACAGTTTCAGGCGGTGTAACGCAGGGACGCCAGGGACGGTGACAGGGCTGATCACCGAGGTACCTCCAGGCGGCGTAACATCTTGTGCCTGCGTGCGTGGCTTTCCTAAAACACATTTTTGTGGCGATTTTTCATGCTGAACACGCATTAGTTCGGAGGTACACCGGTGAGTCCAAACATACGGACCGCTTCGGAATACTTGGTAGTACCGAAGCTAAGACTTGGCGCGTAGCGAGACTCGCTGCTAGTGTATCAATACCGGATGAAATTTTGCCATCGCAATACGTGCATGTCTCAGTGGGATTGTGCGTCCAGTAGAGTAGCAAGATAGGAGTAATTTAGCGAGTTCAAATATATACCTCGTCCCTAAACCATGTCGTCTCTGAGACTTCTCGATTACTGAGCTTGTTATTTCGTACATCACAATTTGTACGACCACGGATCATCACTGGATTACGGAATTCCCATGGAGAAGTACGATCAGAATTCCGTTGTTGCGATCATCGGAGTGGGATATGTTGGCGAACATCTCATGGAAGTCTTCTCTTCCGCTTACCAGGTTATTGGGTACGACGTCTCGGCTCCTCGAATAGAAAGACTGCGCTTGAAGCACTCACGGAGAGACAATGTCAAATTCTCAAGCGATGAGACTGATTTGAGAGACGCGGCACACTTTCTCGTTTGCGTACCGACCACCCTGGGATTGAACGGCCAAGTCGACTCCTCACATGTTCGCAGCGCAATAGACATGCTGCAACGCTACGCAACCGACAAGTCGATAGTGGTCATAGAGAGTACCGTTGCGGTCGGCATGACAAGAGCACTGCTTGGGCCGCTGGCCGGATCGCGCGGCATTCTTGCCGGGATGTCACCAGAGGTAGGATGACCTTTTGCTCCGAAAGAACGAGGACTGGCTGACACCTACCAGAGAATCGACCCAGGCCGAATCGATCCGCCGCCTAAATCAATACCAAAGGTTGTCTCGGGGCTCGACGACATTGCCCCAGGCTCGCTGGACGCCATTGTACGTCTGTATGAGACGGTCTTCGATACTGTGATCCCTGTCAGCAAACCCGAAGTCGCGGAAATGTCAAAGTTGTACGAGAACTGCCAAAGGACGATAGCCATTGCGTACGCCAACGAGATGTCAGACGCTTGCCAGGGACTTGGGATCGACCCGTTCGAAGTGGCGCGCACAGCCGCCAGCAAACCTTTTGGGTACCTGCCCATGTACCCTTCATTGGGAATCGGGGGTCATTGCATCCCGGTCAACCCGATCTACTTCATGTCGACGTGCAATCTGCCGCTTCTCCAACAAGCACACGAGAAGATGATGTCGCGGCCGTCGCGAATCGCCAGCCAGCTTCTGGCAACTATGCTAGACGAGTGCCACAAAAATCATGGTTCGACACACCGCCCCAGGCTTCTTGTCGTCGGTGTCGGTTTCAAGCCTGGCCAGTCGGACCTGTCACATTCGCCTGGCCTGCAGTTGCTCAACTACGTGCGACAGTCGGGAGAGGTAGATCTCATGTTTTGCGATCCTCTGGTGAACCAGGAGGCGATACCCGAAGTATCAAGATTGGAAGAAGGTTCTTGGCAGCCTGACGTCTTGAGGTCGTTTGACGCCATCGTCGTAGCGGCGAAACAACCTGGCTTAGATTACACAGTTCTGGAAACCTTGGCAGATGTGCGGATTGAAGTCTGGAACCGATGATAGCTGACGCGGGCGTCAGAGGCCGACACATGTTCAGTCGCATTCGCAAAGTGGCTCTATTGGTTGCTTGGCTGGCCATCTTCTGTACATTACGGTTTTCGTCTACTTAATGGTAATACACGCCATCTTTCGTAATCGGCCCGAGGAAGTGATCGTCCGGTCTTTGCATTCGGTACCCAAGTCTAAGACCGGCTAATTTTGTCTGCACATTTGGAGATCGGGCCTAACGGGCGTTTATTTAGTCGATACCGGCGCTTTGGGGCATTGACCCCTGAGGTTCGGATGTGAGCGGTGAGCTGTTGCACTACCACCGATGGAAACTCAAACACGCGGCGAACAGACGTGAGGGAAGCTTGTGCAACCGGCTTACGGCCTTGCTATGATGGGAACGGATGTAGAAAAGCTGGACAGCGCCGCATCAGTCATCCAGATATCCAATTCATCATGAATAGTGCATTGGGGGCTTACCATCCATTCTACTACACTCCGTTGGGAAATGTATGCCCGGTGATAAATCCACTCGTCAACGTTGAGACGATCAACTACGGAAGATGTGGACCAGGAGTTCAGCAACCTGAGTGTAGCCGTTGCTGCTCGAAAGACGTGAGTAGTTGAGATCTTTGATACATCAACTGCCGTCTTACTCATCATTTCAAACAGGGCATTCGCATGACACATCCAAACTTTGCTGGTCAACATGCGTGTCTTTGGGACTATGGGTTAGCATGCGATGGCACCCAATGGCCTCCAGGATTCAATACATCAGATACGCCTCGGCCCAAGCTGGGAGATGTTCCCTATGGAACGAAGATTTTCAACTGCAAAGTGGAAAATACGCTTGCACTCACGTACGATGACGGTCCTCGAGAGTGGACAGCGGATTTGTTGGACATCTTGAAAGCCAACGGCGTCAAAGCGACATTTTATATCAGGACAATCAACCTGTACTGGGAGCTGATAGCTCACAAGTTCGATGAGAGGTCTACACTTATCAGAAGAATATACAACGAAGGACACCAAATCGCGGGACATACCTGGGGCCACAAGAACTTGGATAAGATGACTCGGCAGCAACGCAGAGACGAACAGATAAAAGCAGAGATTGTCCTCAATGACATTCTGGGCTTCTTCCCAACTTACATGCGCCCGCCGTTCAACATCTGTGGCCCTCAATGCCAGGAAGAGATGGGAGAGCTCGGTTACCACGTGGTGAGTCCGCAGGAAGCAACGTAGAGGAGCGGGACTAACCTTTTGAAAGACTGCAGCCGATCTCGATGGACGGGACTGGGAAGGTAATTACACCTACACGGAACAGAACTTCATGGAGAAGATCAAGGGCAAGAACCGTAACGGGGTTCGGGCCTGGTTGGGCCTGGCGCACGACACCCACGAAGGTACCGTGCATAGATACACACAGTTCATGATTGACAACGCACGGGCGCATGGATACAAGCTGGTGAGGGTAGGGGAATGCTTGGATGACCCGGAGGAGAACTGGTATCGGGACCCTTTGACGGGTGACAGGCCTGTCGAAATGCCTCCAAGAGACATGCCGTGATCTATTCTTGTAGTTAGGCTTTGATGATAAGCAATGATCTGAACCGGGAATCTGCCTGTCAGCAATGCGGGGATGAAAGTCAGGACCGAAAGTCAGAACCGAAAGTTACGTGTAGTCCGTCCATGGATGGGTGCTTGATTAGTGATTATGTTCGGGAACGCGATGACGTCCCTGTCGCGTGCGGAAGATTGTCCGTGCCTCCGCCCGCGTAAACAGCTGTACCAGCAAGCCATCACCTTCATATACCAGCAACCATGTCTCGCACCGCCATACCACGTGCTGCACTACGCCTTAGCTCAAGAAGCCCGTTATGCACATCTTCGAGGTCAATTGAGGCGCCGAGCCGCAGTCTGTAAGCTTCAATCGCTGCTTTGCGCAAACTTCCCCGCTCACACCACCAGGCCTATATTGCGCCCAACACCACAATGCTCGTCACACGCCATCCGAAGCTTCTCCGTAAGCACACAACTACAGAAGAAGGCCGGTAAAGCGAATAAGGCCCACGCGCGAACCGACTCCGCACCTCCCGTCAGCAACCCGGGCCCATTGACGCCTACCGACGAAGCATACGATGTCTCAGGCCTGGAGGCACAGATCCTCAAGGCTCTGGAGAAGCTTACACACGATCTTAGTCAGTTGCGCAGTGGAGGAAAGACGAACCCCGAAATCGTGGAGAACTTGAAAGTGCAATTGGGCACGGCAGGAAACAAAGAGACCGTGAGACTGGGAGATATCGCGCAGGTTGTTCCCAGAGGGAGAATGTTCAATGTCATCTGCGGGGAAGACACGGTAAGTAAAACCGTTACTATAACAACACCACCAAGTGTTCTAACACTACACAGCACGTCAAGCATGTCACCAGCGCCATCGCCGCCTCTCCACACTCGCTCACACCCCTCACACCCGAACCCTCCAATCCTCTCACCATCCAAGTCCCGCTCCCACCACCGACAGGAGAGTCGCGTCGCGCAGCCGTCGAGTCGGCCGTCAAAGCTTCTGAGCGAGCAGACAAGCTGATACAACAAGGGCGTCAGGAACACAACAAGAAGCTGAGGAAGTTTGAGCTAAATCGCGATGTGCTGCCAGATGACCTTCAGAAGGCGAAGAAGAAGATGGAGGAGGTGGTGAAGAAGGGACACGAGGAGGTTAAGCGCATCAGCGATGGCGCGAAGAGGGTGCTTGAGAGTCAGTAAATAGCATGGAATGGCATACTGCATTGTCGGGAAAGTACAAAAGTATTACATTATCATGCGCAAAACTTCTGGTGCACGACGCATGCGATTGAGAAGTGTTGCGCCTGGGCAGCTTTGTGTAGACTCTGCCTTAAGTCTGCCTCAGCAGTTTGCATGTGCTTACACAACATCTTAGCAAAACGGTGGCCAATCGAGCCATCACGTACTATCTCATACAGATGGCACAAGGTTCCAATTGGACGATGTAGCAGCCGGCATCAACACGAGCAATGCGAGCGGCTCAGCCTCCACAACAGTGCTTGGCGCGACACTCGCGCATTATCTGGTGACCACCAAAACCACCACATATAGGGAGTGGCTAGCCAGATTCACGGGCCAGGCTCCATATCTAGGAGAATGAAGATCGCGAGGAAGAGCTATGGCGACTGTCAGAGAGTCAGAGGACAATGGTACAATCAGGCTTGGCGGAGCGGACAGTACGAAGGTATGTGTGCTGATACCGACAGCCTCTCGCTGGACAGATGTTGACATGATCAGGGCACTGCAACCAATACAACGTCTATAACCCCGGCTGAAGGTGTTGTGGTCACTCGCCTGCCTATGGAAGACGACCTCGAGCTACCACCTAGCACCGAGACCAAGTCGATCTTCCACATCTACGAGAAGCATAAGTGTCATAAAAGCATTACGCCAGTCCTCGATCCTACTCTGGAACGACGGTCTGGCCCAACGATCAAAGAACAGAAGACTACACGCAAGGAGAAGAAAGAGCGTCAAGACGCTGGAGTACCTAGTGTAGAACAAGACGATAATGCTTTCTTCTTTCACCGACCATATCTCGCCTTCCACGTACCACCTCACGTACTTTATACTGGCAGCAGTAAATACACCGCGCAACCAGCTATCCTGATACACGAAGGCTGTTTCTGGAAAGAGTACAGGCTCCAACTCCTCCCATCGACCCTCGGCATACTCGACCCACGCGGCGTAGTACCATGGCGCTACAACGCTGTAGACAAGAACGCCCTCAAGCACGATTACCACAAGCTCAAAGGGTACAAAGTCCGGACGTGGAGTTTGTGGGGTGAGACGGGCAAGGAATACGTTCGTTCCGTGAAAAACATCCGTAAGACTGGCGAAGGAAGAGATCCCGATGTGAATACGATGACGGATGGCAAGTCAGAAGAGCCTGCGACGGCCGAAGAAGTGGTGTATTTGCGGTGGAAGAACCCTCTCTCACGCCACACGAGATGCTATCACTTTCAATATGCTGGTATCGACTTCTTTTGGAAAGGAACAGGTACTACCAAGGAGACTCGAACTTGTGGTGCTTTGTTGCGATTTAACCATCTGAAGCTAGTCGCTAGGCTGGCTGTGGCCGAAGAGAAGAAAGAGAGGCGAGATGAGGTGTGTTTGGGAGTATACACGTCGTCTGTTGCGAGTAGAAAGAGTGGTACTTTGGAGTTCTTCGATGCTGCCATCTTGCGTTTGGTTGATGAATATGCGCCCGAGATGCTACTTCGAAGTGAGGAAGGGGCGGAAGAAGAAGAGGCGGAAAGTACGAGGATCTTGCGGATGAAGAGGAGTAGGTTGTATCAGGTATTTGTGGCTACTGCGATGTGTATGATCAAGAGTGAGAAGGAAAAGAGACATACTTTGCTGGATTTGCTGGTGAATGTTGCTGAAGGTGGTGCGGGTGGCTAGTTATAGATGGCTGGCTTCTCTTGAACATATACTTTAGTTTGGATGTACTATGAGGTGTCCGTCATAAAATCATGACAATGTATTCATACAATCTGAGTGGGAAGTTTGTCGGGGGATTGGGAAAGCTTCGGCCGCATGTCACTTATCGATAAGCGATGCGCTAAACATGGAGGTCATGACGTGGGAGATGGCCATTTCTAAGAATTCGACGCCGCCACTCCTCCAACACCCCATCTCCCTTCGCCGACTCTCCTGTATGCCCGCATTTGCGTTTTCGAGACAGTACACCTGCGCACGCTGTTTGCGCACGAATCGAAGATCCAATGTCTTCGTTCCATCCCGAACCACGGCGGCAGGGCCTCTGAGGCGATACGGGCAGACGGCAACACAGCGCAAAGATGAGGATGACGGGAAACAGGAGCAGGAAGACGCAGGAAACAATGGCAATGGGTCAGGCGCCGAGGCCGAAAAGGAGGAAGGCGCATTCACACGACGCATGCGGGAAATGAGTGAAGACGCGCTGGAGTCGGGAGGACATGGCGCCGTCAAAGCTGTGGAAGAGGCAGGCTTCAGTGCAGACCTCAAGGCACAGCTCGAACAGCGAATCGCATCTGCAAACCTCCGGTCGTCTGAAGCAGAACTGCCCGCCTTCGCCTCCCGCCACACACGCGAGCTTGCCACCACAGAAGCCTGGACCGGCACCGAGTCCATCCACGATGCGAGCCTGCGCATGCTGAACGACACCCATAAGCCGCTGCGACTCGGGCGACCAGCCAAGATGCCAGGCGTCCCTATACCCCAGTCCATTGATACCGGACATGCTCGGAGCAAGGAGGGGCGGGGCGTGAGATTGGCCAACGCACGCGACAGGAGCACCGTCTACGCTTCCATCAATGAAGACGAGAGTATAGAGGCTTTCGACCGAGAGAAGCGGTTGCAGGACCTCAAAGACCGCTTCGAACCAGGTGCGCGTACCATCGTCCCTGGTTCCATCCAAGGGATCGCGTCTCTTGCGAATAAGAGAATCGAAGATGCCATCGCTCGCGGCCAGTTCAAGAACATCCCGCGCGGAAAGAAGGCCAATATCGAAAGAGACTACAACGCATCGAGCCCCTTCATCGACACGACCGAATACTTCATGAACAAGATTATACAAAAGCAAGAGATTGTACCGCCGTGGATCGAAAAGCAGCAGGAGCTTACGTCGGCTGCAAGCAAGTTCAGAACTCGACTACGGGCGGACTGGAAGAGGCATGCTGCGCGCGTGATAGCCAGCAAGGGCGGATCGCTACTCGACCAGATCAAGACAGCTGAGGCATTCGCAAAGGCAGAGCTGATTGCAAACCCTCTGAGAAGGAAACAACAAGAGACCCTCACCACTGTTGACGATGACGGGCACATGTCACAAATTACCTTGTCTGGAGGACTGAAGGTAGACTCAGATCAAGGATCCGACGCGGAGCCAGTAGTCACGGAAGAAGTCGTAGCAAAAAAGGTTACATTTGATGCTTCCCTAGAAGCTGTAGCGCAGAACCCAGCAGCAGCTACCGTAACAGAAACAACCACGGAAACCATGGAAGTACCTGTTCAAGCTCCCGAACCAACTGTCGCACCAGCACCGTACCCTTTCCGCGACCCAGATTGGGAACGTATCGAAGGCGGCTACTGGAAAGTCGCTATCAAGGACCTCAACGACAAGGCGCGCAGCTACAACCTTCTCGCACCCGAGCTAGCAAAAAGACCCTACTACAATCTGCAGCGCGAGCTGAACTCCTGCTTCGCCGACGTCGCGCCCCAACTCGCCGGGGCCATCCTCGAACGCGCACGCAAACCGCCCAAGAAAGCAGATAGTTGGCAGAGCTCTGGCCAGAAGAGCGTGCTCGACAACATCATTGGAGGGCCAGTTCGCGTGCGAGATGAGCGCCGCGAGAAGCAGTATGGGTTCCGCCAATTCTGGAAAGACCTCTGGGCCGACAAGTCCAGCAACCCTTATTGAGCCAGTCACCACCAAGCCCGATCCTCGCATCCTCATGCCCGCGGACTCCGAAACCTCTCGTCACCGTGTCCTTTCGAAACCCACTCGCCCACCGTTGAATGTAGCTACCGCGCCCTTGCTGCACGACATCGAGAGAGAGGAACATGATCGACACGCACATACGCTTTCGCCTATCCCTGGCTGTAATCCTTCGTAGCGACCTCGAAGTCAGTGATCAGCTCCAACTTTCCAGGTTTTCAAGTTCTTGTTCGGTGCTTGTCATGGGCATATGCACGTGTTTTCGAATGGGGACGGATCTACATCCTTTGACCCGGAATGAGCGGTGCCCCCCGCTACCGACGCCCTGGGTCGATAACGCAGGCGTGAGGCGTCGGGAGTGCCGTGACGGGCAGGGGGGTTGGATGAAGTACTACGGCTGTACACCACACCACAACAAACACCAACAAGACGCATCCATGGGGTTTCGCGACTTACCCAATGTCCCAATCTGTCGTCAGCTGCATGAGTCCGCGGAGCTCGGCGAGTCCGCCCTACGTGGGAGAAGAAAGTGAGGCGTTTGTTGTTGCTTCGAACCTGTTTACCGGGAAACCACGTTCTCTCGGATTCGGATACGCTTAATACGCGACTTTCATGCGTGAATCTCGATGGTCGCGTTTAGCCAACTATTGGTCTCTGATATACGCAAGGAGACGGTGCTTAGTTGAGCTGACCGGGTTCAGCTCCTCGGCTCGGATGCATTGTTACTCAACCGGGCAGTACCTGCATATGGTTTCTCGGGTCGCTCAAGCGGCAGTTCTAGGCGGTACTTCCATGCGTTTTCCTACTCTATAGCCAAGCGTTGTAGAGCTTACACGAACCCGACAGCCTGTTAGCGTGTAGACATGCGCCGAGGTAGAGAGCAAATTATGTTGGTTATCGGTGTGCATACCGCTTTCTCAGCACCTCGCGTGTATGTATGTGTATGTGTGGATGACGGATGACAGACGGCAGCGGAGTACACCGCTGCGTTGTGGTTGTCATGTCTTGGCGGCTTCAGATACTTGGAGTAGGTCGCCGATATCCGGGTCTCTCTCTTCCAATTACTTCGCCTTTTTCATAGTGTTCGGAACGTCTCACTGGTTGCTTCATTTTATTCAGCACTATCAACAATACACGTGCGGTGATGCTTGGGTCACCAGTGTCGGGATTTGGCGGGTTGCTCTCGATACGAGTTTGTACTGTTGAAGCTCGTGAGTAATTTACATTGGTGCGTTCTACTCGTCAGGCGTGAGATACTGTACTCTGACGTCGATCGTGATGC